TAGAGGTTTTTTTGGGACCTCTATGATTGTAGTTTTTAAAACTTTTTCTAACAAAGTTGGATTTTGAATTTTCTCCATTTTCAAAATGTTTTGTTCCAACTTTATCAAAAGAAGCTTTAAGATAATCAATTTTCTTTTGATGATCATCATTGACCTTTGAAAGTAAATTTTGCAAATCCAAAATTTTCTTTTCAAACTCTTCTAGTTTGATTTGCAAATCTTTGATTTTACTTTCAAGATCGTTGTTGGTTTTAGATATGAGTTTATTTTCATTTTTCAATTTTGAAACATCATTTTTATATTTTAAAAACAATTTCTCATAATCCGAAGCCAATCCATTATATTCCTCTAATAGCTCATCATAGGATATATCATCAAAATCAGATGAGTTAGAGGTTACCTTAGAATCTTCCCCGAATGCCATCAAGCACAAGTTTGCTACTTCTTGTTCTTCTTCATCGAAACCTTCTTCATCGCTCCATGTAGCCACATGAGCCTTGTGCTTATTCTTTGATTGACCCTTTCTCTTCAATTGTGGGCAATCATATTTGACATGCCCAGGCTTTTTGCATTCATAGCAAATGATCGTGTCCTTCTCTTTTGGTTCATTTTTGAGGCCTTCATTTCGTTTGAATTTTCTCCCTCGGTAAGGTCTCATCATTTTTCTGAACCGTTTGGTAAACAATTCCATTTCGTCATCATCGTCATCTTCATTCCAATCACTCTCATCTTTTGTGGATTTGAGAGCAACTCCAATGTTTTTCTTATTCTCCTTCTCCTTTGGTGTCTCTTCAATCTTATCAAGGTCCACCTCATCTTCAAGCATCATTTCATGAGTGAGGAGTGAACCGATTAGCTCTTCAAGAGTTAAGGACGTTAGGTCCTTAGACTCGATGATTGCCGTCTTCTTTGATTGCCACGATTTTGGAAAGGAGTAGACTAACTTCCTCACAAGCTTTTCATTTGAAATGATCTCTCCATATGATTTGAGACCATTGACAATCGCTGAAAATCTATCCGTCATAGCTTTGATATCTTCATTTGGTTTCATCCTGAAATTTCATAGCTATGCGTTAGAATACTAATTTTAGATTTCTTTACCTCATCGGTACCTTCATGAGTGACTTGAAGTTTGTCCCATATTTCTTTGGCGGTTGTACAAGATGAAACTCTTTCTTATTCATCTGGTCCAAGAGCACAAAATATGATATGGATGGCTTTGGAGTTGAGCTGGAACATTTTTGTCTCTCATTCACTCCACAATCTTAGATGAGTGAGAGGCTTGATGTATCCTTCTTCTACGACATTCCATGCTCCCATGTCACTTGCTTGAATGAAGTACATCATCCTACTTTTCCAATAGGCATAGTTAGCCCCATTGAAGAAATGAGGCTTGTTGACGGGCATCGAATCGAGATCGGAGTCAAAGTTTGAAGTAGACGCCATTGATGACTTTGATTATCGATGTAACTCTTCCTGAATCGACTCGAGAGGCGATTAAACCTTCAAATGAGTTAGGCTCTGATGTCAATTGTTGAGTTAATCGATTGACGAATATGGCCAAGAGGGGGGTGAATTGGCAATTAAAATTTTGGTGGAAGCTTTTGCAAAAAATTGAAAGAAATTTGCACAGAGATTTAGAGTGGTTCGACTTTTTCAACCAAATTCTACGTCCACTACCTTAGTTATCCACACTAAGGATTTTCCACAAATTCACTAATTTGTCTTTCTTTTGAGGACAAAGATAAACCTTACAAACCCTCAAGAATTATACCCCAAATTCTTGAGAACACTCTCTCCCAAAGAGAACAATACAAATTTGCAAACTTACAAGGAGATCCTCACAAGGTAGATTGTTTGCACAATTCTAGAACAAAGAAAATAACACTCAAGAATGAATACAATTAACACAATAACTGTTCTTGAAAGCAAAATGAATATTGAATGAAAGATAGACTTGAAATGCTCAAACTTGAGGTTTGATTCTTTCTCTTTGATTCTCTCTTGATTCTAGTTGCTTGATGTTTCTTATTTTTGATCAATGGCTTCTAAGCTTGCTTAAATACACCTTGAATCACTTCTGAACTTTGGGGATCATTAATGAAGTTATTGTAGCAGTTTAAGTGTGAAAATAATTAATATTTCTGCTTGGAGTTTGGGGGGAATCGGTACCCCTCATGGGGAACCGATTCCCTAAGTGTAAAATTCAAATATTTCGACCGTTGAACAGTGGGGGAATCAGTTCCCTCTGAGCATACTGGAATTCTTGGAGCCAAACCATTCAGGGGGGAATCGGTTCCCTCTGAGCAATCTGGAATTTTTGGCTTTGAAATGGTTCGAAATATTTTGTAAAATCATTTTGAAATTATTTTAAGATTAAAACTTAATTTTACACTTGAGTAAGGATTTAAAATGAACTTTGAAATACTTTGAGTAATATTTTGATATTCGATTTAATATATCGAATATGCTTAGAAAAAATCTTTTTCAAAATTAAAATTCTTTTAATTTAATTTGTTATATCGAAACATCAAAATGTTTTCAACACTCTCCATTGGGATTTCATCTCTGCTACTCTCAAAGCCATTGGCCTTCCTAGTATTTTCTTAAAATGGATAGAGGTTTGTTTCAAAGAAGCCATATATTCTATCTCCTTCAATGGTAGCTTAGTGGGCTATTTTAAAGGTCAAAGGGGAATTAGACAAGGAGACCCCTTATCACCTATCTTTTTGTGCTTGCTATGAACATACTCTCCAAAATTCTTAATCTTGCTGCTTCTAAAGGGATCTTTGGGTATCACCCTAAATGCAAAAAAATTGGTCTAACCCATCTCTCTTTTGCTGACGAACTTCTAATCTTATGTAAAGGAAATCTTGAATTTATTGCTGGAATCATTTCAATTTTAAACCATTTCTATGCCTTGTATGGACTCAAGTTTAATGTTAGCAAGACTGAATTATTTGCTGCTAGTATTTCCTCTAGAAATCTTGAAAACATTCATGCCATTTCTGGCTTTAAGATTGGTCAGCTTCCAATCAGGTATTTAGGGGTTTCATTAATCATTAAAAAACTTTCTGAGCTTGACTGCCAGCCTCTACTGGAAAAAGTCAAACTAAAGCTGTATCATTGGTCTAATAAACTGCTCAGTTATGCGGGGAGACTTGAGTTAATCAAAACTATCCTATTCAGCGCGGTTAATTTCTGGTGCAGGCAATTCATGCTTCCTCAGTCTATTATTAACCTAATTGATCAGCTTTGTTCTCGGTTCCTGTGGAAAGGTACTGATCAATATGCTTCAGGGGCACAAGTTAGCTGGTCAAATATTTGCTCTCCTAAATTAGAAGACGGCTTAGGCCTGAAGAACTTAAAATCCTAGAATATTGCTTGCATGATGCTGTTAATTCAAAATATTATGGCAGGTGAAGGATCCATTTGGGTGGCTTGGCTACATTGTTATGTTCTCAAGAACAATGATTTCCGTGATATGGTAGTAAACAATGCTCACAGCTGGAGTACTAAAAAACTTCTGAAACTGAGACATACTGCTCTTCCCATTCTGAACTCACGAACAATTTGCACAAAAGATATTTGGGAAGCTGTTAGAGATAGAAAGAGTAAGGTTTCTTGGCACAAAATCATTTGGTTCCCTATGCATGTTCCCAAGTTTAGTATGATAGCTTGGATGACAATCCTTGACAGACTTCCAACTCGGGAAAGACTGTCAAGGATAGGAGTTCTCAATGATACTCAATGTGTTCTATGCAATGAGACTATCGAAACTAGGAACCATCTATTTGCATATTGTAGCTTTGCTAAAAACATGTGGCATGTTATCTTAAACTCGACTCACTTGCGTAAACCCCAAATATCTTGGGAAACAATGATAGAATGGGCTTGCCATGAATGGAGGGGTAAATATTTGATCTCCATCCTACTGAAAATTGTATGGACTTCATATATATATATGATTTGGGAGAAGAGGAATAGAAGGATTTTTCAACAAAGGAAAAGGGAGGTTGCTCAACTTCTGACAACTATCAAAGAAATTGTTCGGGTCAAGCTTAGTGGAAAAAACATTAACAGAACTGATTTTATTAACTTTAATATTTGCTGTAAATGGGGTATATACTAACTATTATTTTGTTGTAAGTATAGTTTCTACTCCCTTAGGAACGATATGTAGCTACTGTTTCTCTGGATAATAAAATCTTACTTATCCAAAAAATATAAATGAGTTTAAAATAAGTTGAGATAATTAATTAAATTAGGGTCAAGTACACAAATAGTCCTGTGACTATAGGGCTTTGTTTTATTGAGTTTTTCGACTATTGAAAATTATGAAATGGTCCATTGAGTATAGAACATTACTTTTTTAGTCTCTCCACTATTAAAAATTTAAAAATGATCATTGGACTATTTATATGTTCTAAACTTGTAATTTTTTTATGTTAAAAATAAACGTTAATATGATGATTGTGATATTATAAAATATGATCTCAAAATCTCAAACGATTATCATATCTCAGTCAATAAGTTAACGTGTAGCTCAAACCGTCATCAATTTTAATGAAAAAGGATGAGTTTGAAACATTTAAATAGATAAGTGATCATTTTGTAACTTTTAATAATAAGGGCACTCAACAAAGCAAGAAGCAAGGCCTTATAGGTGGGGGACCATTTTATAATTTTTAATAGTTAAGGACTCAATAAAGCAAACACGATATAGTTGGGGGACCATTTATTTACTTTACACATTAAAATATTACCAAGTTATGTAAATTATTATACATGAATATTGTAACATTATAATAATTTATATAGTTTTATCATAATCTTATTTTTCCTTCATAAAACTATCCGTAAAATGGCGTACGTTGGGGTGCGATGCGAGAGGATATAAGAAAAACAACATCAAAATCAAAGGGCATTGGCGCCAAAGCCCTAAAACCTTCCCGCCATCCATAGTATTAAAATATATAATTATATTCCCCGATTTCACCGAAAATATTGAAATCAAAGGCATTCAGGAACTCTCTTTCATCGAAAGAAAAAAGAGAGAAAAATCTAGTAGATCAATGGACGTTGATAGGCCGAATGATCAACCTACAGACACTGGAGGCCGCCGCCGTGGCCGAGGAGCGGAGGCGGAGAAGCGTGCGGGAGCCCTAGAACGCTTAAAAGCTTTACGCCAAGGCGGCCGTCGCTCTGACTCTTCCGTGCCTGCTTACCACGTCAAGCTCGATGAGCCGGTGTTCGTTAACTGCGACGAAGATGCTTACCAGGAGATCGTGAACAAGAGGCGAAAAGAGGCTGAAAATTTCATCGAGAATGACGATGAATATGGAGACTTTGGCTACGGCGACGACGGAAATGATGACTGGACTCAGGCGAGTCATTATCTGTCGTCCGATGATGATGGGTCCGAAGGCGGAAGATATTCGAGGAAAAAAAAGGTTGAGAATAAGGAAAAGAAGGAAAATAACAAGAATAGTAGCAGAGTAAGCAAAAGCAGCGCTTCCTTGTCTGCGGCGGCGGCAATGATGGGGAAACAGAGGGTTTCTTCGATGTTTACTTCATCGGCTTTTAATAAGAAGGGTAAAGAAACTGATAAGGTAAAATGCGAAAGCATTGTTGATGATGTGATCAAGCAGTTTGCCCCTGATGAATCTGACAGGGAACATCGCAGACGAGGCCAAACCAGTCTTTTGGCTTCGGTTAGGCCCTCCAAAGTGGCTCCCACGGTGGTTAATTCTGTTAAGAGTGAAGATGAGTTAGTTTCCGAAGGTTTGACGGAATTGGTTGAGAAGTGCACTAAGACCATTGAAGAGGCGGTTGTAGAATCTAGTGAACTAGAGTTTGACAAACTGGAGCCTGAGGTTGAATTGAAGGTGGAGTCCACCGAGGAAAGGAAGGAAGAGAAAGAGGAGAATGTGCATAAATTAAATGCAAAGATTTTGGAGGAGAAGAAGGACGAGGCTTTGAGTGCAATGGCTGGATGGAAGGCAGTGAAGAGTGAAAGGAATGTCAATATGAATGGCTCTGGGGAAGGTATAAATGGATTTAGTAGTGAAAGACAGTCAGAATTTGAGCTTGATGTGGATGGTTCGGTTCCATTTTATATACTTGATGCTCACGAGCAGTTTTATGGTGCTAATATGGGTACTGTTTATCTCTTCGGGAAGGTAACTGTATTGTTATTGACTTATCTATAGCTTCTTTACATTAATTTTATTGCCCCGCGATTGGTTGTTGCTTTAAATTCGGATGTAAACTCTGTTTTCTATGTTTATTAGTATGGCGAATGATATTTGTAGTCTGAAATGGGAAGTGAATTTAGGTCAAAGTTGGAAGTGGATACCAAAGTTGCTGTGTGGTTGTAAAGAATATTCAGAGATGTGTTTATGCAATTCCCGACCATTCTATATTTCACAGTGATGAGAATATGAAACTTGAGAAAGATGCAGAAGAATCAAAGATTTCACTTTCCAGTTTCCGAACTAAGTTGCATGTGAGTTTTTCTCTGCGTTCATCGTCTCTCTTTGTTTTTGTATCCCTTTCAATTCTGATTGATGGCTTGATGCCTCTCCTATTTTTTTCTTCAAGGATATGGCATCAGGGTTGAAGAAAGAAGTTGCAAAACACTTGTTAAACCTTAATGTTTCAGGTTTTACCATGGCACCGGTTAAGGTTTGGACATTCAAACAATCTGACTTTTCGTACTTGTCCACGATTTCTATTTCCTTACATTGTTATTCTGTTTGGTTTGTTGAATTGGTGATCAAATTTCAGAGGCGATATGCATTTGAGAGATCAGATGTACCTGTTGGTGAGAATTATGTCCTCAAAATCAACTACCCATTCAAGGTACATCTCGAGCTGTAAATCAAACAATTACATGGTTTCACCTGGAGTTTATTTTCAGACATTTTGTTGGGGAACTATGTTTTGTTTTATAGTTAAAGTAAATTTAGAGTCTGGCAAGCTTTCAAGGACCATGATTTCTTTGTCACAAATAGATAAACTAGATACTTACTCTATCCTCGATTATTACCTCTTGTTTAAAATTGGTTTTTTCCTCAATATTCTTTTTTCAGGATCCACCACTTCCATCAGATTTAAAAGGAGAAAAGTTCTGTGCTCTGCTTGGAACTCACAGCAGGTTTGAGTACTTGGAACATTTTTCTTGAAAGGAAAAAAGTAATGGATTGTAGCTGAATGTACAATATATTCATTCTAATCTTCTCAATGCAGTGATATGAGTTGTTACAGCTGTTTGTAAAGTTTTCTTGATTGTTTAGTGTTATTCTAGCGTCTAGTTTTTGCAATGCTCTTTTTTAACTTATCTTGCGTGGAAACTGTTGAGTCAACGTGCTTTTGGTGATTGACTCCGTCATTTGATATATACGATTGATTGGTTAGTGATAACCTTATTAGTTTTTCTATGAAATGCAATGGTAATGTTATAAAGCTATTTTTGTAATTTAAAATTGATTTGACTTAATTATCTTCCAGAACATTTACTCTTGATGAGTTTCTGTTTAACCAAAGTAAATTTTCAAGGACTAGATAATGCTATTACCTATGGGTTCTTTACTTGAAAAAAACTGGATTGATTACTGACTAGTGTTGTCACTTGCAGCGCATTGGAGCTTTTCCTTGTTAAAAGGAAAGTAAAAGGACCTTCTTGGCTATCAGTTTCAAAGTATTCTATTTGTCCAGCTCCCCAGAGGGTGAGATTCTTGAACATAGCATATGGTGGTATTATTTTAGCTAATTTTGCAAATTCTTTGAGCATGTTTTTAATTCTTCGTTTGGTTAAGCTTTGACAGGTCAGCTGGTGCAAGTATGAAGTTGTTGTCGATTCTCCCAAAGACATTAGGGTTTCAACTTCATCAAAGAAAACAACAGAAATTCCCCCCATAGTTGTTTCAGCCATAACTTTGAAGACTGTCATCAATGAGAGGCAGAATGTAAATGAAGTTGTCTCAGCATCAATTATCTGCTGTCACAGGGCTAAGGTGTGTTGCGGCTTTTTCTGATTAAGGTTCTACATAGTGAATTTACGTACGTTTTGTGAAAATTTTTTAAAAGTGGTTTTGCTAGTATAATTCAACCCCCCTTCAGGCTTCTTTAGGAAAACACACCGCACTTAATATTACAGTATTCTACACTTTTTTCTTGGACCATCTTTAATCCAAGTAGCAGAAAAATATCATCATCGGTATACTCAAACATCAGGAATACTAGTTAAGCATGTTATATGCTGGCTTAGATATCAAAGAAACTGCTGCGTTGACCTAAGAAAATAATGTCTTATATGTGGTTTTGGCTTTTCAGATAGACACTCCCATGTTGGCATCAGAATGGAAGAAACCTGGTTTACTGAGCCACTTTACTGTTGTCCGCAAACTTGATGGAGGCATTTTTCCAATGGGTTTTACCAAGGAAGTGACAGATAGAAACTCAAAAGCCGAATCAAATGTTTTAGTCTTTGAGAGCAGGTAAGTTTTATATGTCGTCTTCCATCAAGTCTTTTAACTGTTGCCTGTTAACATGATATCGTCTTTGAATGATTATATTTAGTGGCTATTGTTGAAGCGTCTTTTGACATGATGTTGTAGTGAAAGAGCTTTACTAAATCGATTGATGATTGAGTTATACAAGCTGGACAGCGATGTTCTTGTTGGGCATAATATATCTGGATTTGACTTGGATATTCTTCTGCATAGAGCCCAGGTGGGAATCTCAACAAAGTGCTTTACTGTGGAAGAAATTCAAAGCTGCTTTATGTATATATATATATATATATATGTTCTTAACCACGGGTAAACGATCATGGGCAGGCTTCAATCATCTGTCCCATAAGTATATTTAAGCAAGAGTTGGCAATTGATGATATTTTAATGCAGTTCCTTATTTTTAATACAATATTAGGCCCATGACTTTTGAATCACTATTAATCAATGTTTCATTATGCAAACAAGAGTCTTCTATTAGCAATTAGCGTATTTTGCCACCATTAAATTTTCATTTTCCTGATCTTATAGTTAACTTCTCTGCATTGTCAAATCTTTAGATGGCAACAACCGTATATAGGTTGCTTCAACTTTCATGATCATATTCTTTAAATGCAATCTGCCTCTAAACCTATCAAATGCCCATATGATGATTTGCCATTAATCTTATAGCAGTAATAATTTGCTCTTAGTCAGGCTTGTAAAGCACCAAGCAGCATGTGGTCCAAAATTGGTCGTCTGAAGCGTTCTGTGATGCCCAAGTTAACAAAAGGAAGTACCATCTTTGGGTCTGGAGCCAGCCCTGGGATAATGTCATGCATTGCTGGTCGTCTTTTATGTGATACATATTTGTGTGCCCGTGACTTGTTAAAAGAGGCATGGCAACTGGTTCATTACACCCTTCATGCAGTATGTGAACTTTAGATAATGGAAACCTTCGCTTATTAAACATGTAATTTTTGTTCTCAGGTTAGCTATTCTTTGACACAACTATCAAAGACTCAGCTCAACAAAGACCGCAAGGAGATTGCTTCACAAGATGTTCCCAGAATGTTCCAAACATCTGAATTGCTCATGGAACTTGTAGGTTCTGGTAACCTTGTCTTATAGTAGTATGGTTTTGAACTTTTCTTTTTGTTATGTCTAATTACATTTAAATTAGGTAACATCCAAACTTCAATAACTTTTATAGGGGTCATACCTTTAAAAAACATTGATAGAGGTCATTGTTAAACATGTATTTGAGAATATAAATATTAACGTTAATTAGATATTAAGGGCCCAACTTACATGATGATTGTTTGATGATTTTCTTGAAGTGTTCAATATATGTTATAAGTGAATTAATGAATTATCCATTCTTGGCTAAAAGCTTTTAGTGGACCGTACTGCTTGAACTTGAGGATAATAAAACGCAGGGAATGTGCAGCAGGACAAACTAGTCAACTGTGACAGGAAATCTGCTTCTATTCTGAGCTATTATGCTTCTAATTATATCTTGTGATGTGTTCAGATTGAATATGGCGAGACTGATGCATGGTTATCTATGGAACTAATGTTTCATCTGAGTGTTCTTCCCCTTACCCGCCAGCTGACCAATATCAGTGGTAATCTATGGGGAAAGACTCTCCAGGTGAGTACCGCTTGATTCCCTGTGTGCATTTGTTTCAATCTGTTCATCGACTTGACATAAAAGCGATCCTTTTCAGGGTGCTAGGGCACAAAGAGTAGAGTATCTTTTGTTGCACGCATTTCATGCAAAAAAGTACATTGTCCCAGACAAGTCTTCACCTCACACTAAGGAAACAAAAGTTTTGAAAAGGAGAATAACTCATGGTGCTGAGGATGGGAACAGGGATGATGTGGATAACAATGATGTGAATCTTGAAGAGGAAGCTCATAATGAACGTGGAAAAGGCAAAAAGAGTCCTGCCTATGCAGGTGGATTGGTTTTGGAGCCAAAAAGAGGACTGTATGACAAATATGTATTGTTATTGGATTTCAATAGCCTTTACCCATCCATAATTCAGGTTAAATTAACTACTTTGTGTCTCTTATCTTTACAATCAGATTATTATTTTTTGCCTCTTGTTCAAGGTTGTGGTCTTTTCTGCTGTTGTATACTTTTCTAACTAGTATGAACTACCAATTTGGTCCAACAGGAATACAATATATGCTTCACAACAGTTGAAAGATTTCCTGATGGATCAGTTCCTTGTTTGCCCTCTAGTAAAACAGCTGGGGTTCTACCTGAGGTATAGTCTCCTCTTGGTTTTGCTGATTTGAAGAGCTGAATTTGCCAAGTTCAGTCGAAACTTTATTACAATTTGCTTCTTTTTTTGTGTTATAGCTTTCCATAGTTCTTCATAACTGTCTGGAAGTGTGATTCCTCAATATAAATGCTCTAAATTTAATGAGGGTTGTTGCCTTTACCTTTAGACATTTTAACTGCATTGATGTTTTCTCTTGTTATAGTTCGTGATATAGTGTACAATAGAATTGAAGAAATTTTCTTTGTAGTAATTCCAAAATGTTTGAGGTCTTCAAAATGGAATAGTGTTTTGAGTTGTATAATTAATCACTTGTATTGATGTTCGAATAAGTAAATCATTTGTATTGATGATTTTGAAACTAGAAAGGAATTTATAACTATTTATGATCAGAGGTTATTGTTACTATTTTAAGTGATCAATAAATTATGAAAGGAAATCTGAGATGAGTATTGACACTCATGAGCGATCTGCCTGATCATTGCTTGAAGAGCTATTCTCTCCTTAAATGCTTCTGCATGTTCAATGAGATTTCTCCATCGAAGATGTGTCTTTACATACCCTTCTGTAGATAATTTGTTTCCAATTATTCATGAGTAAATATTAATAGATAATTTGTTTTTCATACCCTTCTGTAGCTGCTGAAAAATTTGGTTCAGAGGAGGAGAATGGTAAAGTCATGGATGAAAAATGCATCTGGTATCAAAGTTCAGCAACTTGATATTCAGCAGCAAGCACTTAAGCTCACTGCAAATAGGTATGTGTATTTTAATTGTTGGTAGTTCTCTTTTGGGGCCATTTGGTTGAACTATATAGGTGTAACCATCACTGTTCCTTGAAACTTCATTTTCCTTTTATTTCTTTGAAAGTTTTCGTGGGGTTGCCAAAGCCTGTCCTGCTATAGATGGCACTTTCAAAATTTATTTTCAGCTTGTGACATTTTACTGGAGATTCTTATTTGTAGTTTAGATGACAGCTCTTCTTGCATATGACCTGATAATGTTTACTGTGCAGTATGTATGGATGCCTTGGGTTTTCCAATTCAAGATTTTATGCAAAACCCCTTGCAGAGCTTATAACACAACAAGTAAGCTATATGTAGCATACAAACAAATGCAAAGAAAGGCGGTTTGTTGTGGGTTATTTTCTTTTGTTTTGATCTATAAGTTATATTGCTGTTGATTAGGGAAGGGAGATTCTACAAAGTACTGTTGATCTTGTTCAGAATAATTTAAACTTGGAGGTATGTGTATTATGGCTAGGCTTTGATATTCAGACTCCATGAAGTGCCAACATCATGTCTATGCTAATGAATTATACTCCTGAAGATAGGATTTTTGGTAATTGGCAGGTGATATATGGTGATACAGATTCTATTATGGTTTATAGTGGATTGGATGACATTGCAAAAGCAAAAGCAATTGCAGGAAAAGTCATCCAGGAGGTGAGGCTCTGAGAATGTGATTTGTTTCTGTGCTGTGCTTGTAATGTGATGCAAGTACATTGAATGTTGCTAGGAATGTCATTGATAAGATTTTTTGGAAGGGTTTATTCCTCAAACCTTTAAATAGCTCCATCAATTATTACTGTATAGGCCGCTCTGTTATAGTCCTTTTCTTAGAATTTTATGGAATTGTTGCCACCATTCAAAATTTTGATTCCCTCTTTTCAAATGTATAGATTAATGTGCCATGCATTTTTCATTTTGAATTTAAACTCTTCTTTTTTTTTTTACCTTCTACAAAATGACTTTTCTATCTCTTTATTTCAAGGTGAACAAGAAATATAGGTGCCTAGAAATCGACCTTGATGGCCTGTACAAGAGAATGTTGCTTCTGAAGAAGAAAAAGTATGCCGCTGTGAAGGTGCAATTCAAGGATGGGATACCATATGAGGTACTGTTGTTTTTTTAAATACATTTTCGTTCACATTGACTCCTAAAAGAATTGGAGAGATAACCTTTTAGTTATAGGTTATTGAGCGGAAAGGTCTTGATATGGTTCGTCGTGACTGGAGCTTACTGTCAAAGGAATTAGGTGACTTCTGTCTCACTCAGATCCTGTCAGGCGGGTATGTGATATTCTATTTATTTTTTAATTTTAAGTTGTGTTATTTTTTGTCATGTTGGCAATCTCTGCGGTACTTGGTCACTGAGCATTTGTCAGAGTGGGTCCTATTTCACAGGTCTTGTGAGGATGTTGTTGAATCAATACATAACTCTCTCATGAAGGTTAGTAGTATAATTCGTTCGTTCTATTTTTATTTTGTTCTTTTGTTTGGTGCTTGACTGAAAGCCTTAGGTCCTTGGAATCATTCGCCAATAAAGGTTTCAATGTGCTACTGCTTATGGTTTATTACACTCATCATTCGTCTGAACTTTGTAATTTGAAGTGTACTTAGACTGCTATCATATAATTGACTTGTTTACTTGTAACAGGTCCAAGAGGAAATGAGGAATGGACAAGTAGTACTTGAGAAGTACATTATCACAAAGACATTGACTAAACCACCTGAAGCATACCCTGATGCCAAAAACCAACCTCATGTTCAGGTGAATTCAACAAACAATAACTAGTCTTTCATGCATTATTACTCTAATCTTGTATAATTTTCCCTACCATGTATCTAATCATTAGATGGATGTTACTTGAACCAATTTATAGGTGGCCCTCAGAATGAAGCAAAGTGGTTATTCTACTGGATGCTCGGCTGGTGATACTATTCCATATATAATTTGTTGTGAACAGGTCTGTGCTTCAATTTCTTTATGAAGTATATATGAATTTTGAGTATTGGCTGCATTCAAACCCTTCCGTTATACTTCATCTCAATTTGATTTCCCTTCCTTTTCCCATTTTGTTCTGTCTTGGACAGGGGTCTAGTTCAAGCAATTCAATGGGGATAGCTTACCGAGCTAGACATCCTGATGAGTTGAAAAAAGATGAGGGGAGATGGATGATTGACATTGATTATTACTTGTCACAGCAGATCCATCCAGTTGTATCACGATTATGTGCTTCAATACAAGGAACAAGCCCAGGGCGGTTGGCTGATTGCTTAGGACTTGACTCATCAAAGGTATTCCCTACATGCTATCCTGATTTTTAAGGACGTCAATGTTCTATCTTGCAGACAGCTCGACAATGATATTATCTGATTTTTTATTTCCAGTTCCAAAGTAAATCAAGTGAGGCTGTCAGCAATGACACTGGAAATGCTCTCTTGTTTGCTGTAGATGATGAGGAGAGGTAACTATTTACTCCTACTCTGCTTTTTTCTACATAATTTTAAAGAACATTTTAATATTTTGTTAATCCTGTCAATTTTGGCTATATTCTATTATATTTATTATTCCTTCACAGATGAATTTTCATAATACCTTATTGTTTATCATCCCAGATCATATATAAAAAATCTCATTGAAATTGACTAATTGAGTACAGTGACAATGGATGTACTTCTTCCATGAAATAATGTATGTATTGGTTTGTGTCGCAGGTATCAGGGATGTGAGCCACTGACATTGTCATGTCCAAGTTGTTCAGGCGCTTTTAACTGCCCTGCTGTATTCAGCTTAATCCGCGCGTTAGTTGAGAAACCAGAAAAAATGCAACAAGGGGAATCTACGAGCAATTTCTGGCGAACGCTGCGCTGCCCCAAATGTTCAGAAGAAGGTGACATGGGTAGAATGTCTCCTGGAATGATAGCAAACCAGGTATTTGTTGATTTTTTTACTTGAATGTTGCTCTAACATGACATACATTGATTGATTGATTGTCTGGTCATCCTAACATGTTAGAAGATGACACATTGCATGCAATATACAGTCATGATACTAAAGGATGTGCTTTGTCCTCTGTCAGGTCAAACGACAAGTGGAGGGGTTTATTTCAATGTACTACAAAGGCTTAATGACGGTAATAGACCTTTTGCAAAATCTCGTATATACAACATAAAAATCTCGAGTTGAGCAGTAATTAGAGCTGATGGCATGTTTGACTTTGCTTTCAGTGTGACGATGAAACTTGCAAACATACTACACGAGGTGTCAACCTGCGGCTGATTGGTGATTCTGAAAAAGGATCGGTTTGTCCAAACTATCCATGCTGTAATGGGCGTCTTGTGAGAAAGGTTTCATGACAATCCTTTAAACATTTTTTTCCCCATAACGAGCTCTTTATGTTTAAACAGACATTTAATTTTTTTTCCCATGAAATGTGTAGTATACGGAAGCAGATCTTTACAAGCAACTAGCTTATTTCTGTCATCTCTTGGACACCACACGCTGCGTAGAGAAGGTTGTTTATTTTTGGTTTACAGCGGATGTTTAGGGCAATAACTGTTGAATATTTGCAGGTTGCGAATTAGTAGGGTATCTAAAAGTTTGTTTTTTGGTTGTATGTAGATGGAGGCAAGTGCGAGGATAGCAGTTGAGAAAGAGTTGGGCAAGATACGACCAGTGGTTGGTTTGGCTGCAAACACAGTTCAAAGAATTCTAGACCGGTGTTCCTTTGGTTGGGTGCAGATGAACGACCTCATCGTCACATTTTGAATCTTTATAATGTATGTATTTGACCTACTTGATGTAATGACACATTATCTGTTCTCTCTGCTCAAGGCTTTGATGTAAAACGTGAGGCACAACTAGAATGCCAACAAGAGACAGAATTTGCAATGCAGAGAGAAAGCAATGATTTATTTGTGTATTTTGGAAAAATATGTAGGTATAAAGGTAAAGACAATGATTTTAATGCATGATTGGATTAACTTGGGTTGCTCTTAGTTTGGGGCAAATTGATCGGTTCATCTAAAATTCAGGTTAGTTTTAGTTTATTTTGTTCCGAATTTTGGGTCATCATGTTTAAGTCTTCAATCAAATAAATCAGTTATATTGGGTTCAGATCAAGTTTGTCACGTCTAGCTATATAATCAGGCGTAATTTGCTTGAGCTGTTTGTTGTAATGGCCCCTGATGTCTTTGAGAGCTGGTAACTCTTCTCTAAGTTTACCTACAAGAGTGAATAGAGAATATTGTTTCTCGATGTTACAGAGACTAAACACTGCTAAATTTACTAAAACCTGACGATTTCTAGAAGAAAAAAAGGAATAAAATAGACCCACTGAACTAATAAGCTTATTAGTTAGTTCTGCTCTATATAGGAACTGCTCAATCAGTCTCTTATGATACTGATTAATTTGAAGATGGATATTTTAAGCTTTACGTTGAATTATATGGTTGCTAAAGATAAAAGTTGGATCTACGACATTTATGATGCTCTAAACATTCATGATAAAAAACACTAGATAGTAGATATTATATACTATCTTTATCTACATGTAGGATAAGACTTGAATAATACTAAACTATTAGAGATTGTCATAACGTTTTGAAAAATCGAAAAACATTAGGGTTAATTTTGATTAAATTAGGTTTTTCTTTAACAATTGAAAAATGTGATCCGATGACCACTAATCTTCATTTAGGGTGTAATTGGATCACCAAAAAATATTTTATTATTTTAATAAAATTTAAATTTAAAAATAACTTTTTGTTTACTTTAAAGAAAAATGAGATCAAGAGTCGATTACATGTAGGGAATGATTAACAACTCGCAATGCCCGAAAATCGGTACCTAGTCGATTAATTATTGTCTTTGCAATAAAATTTATGACTTTGAATTTTAATTTAACTAATGATCCCTTTTTTAATCGAATAAATACAACATTATTAGGTAAGCATACAACGTTCCAACATTTTGAACAAGGATAAATATCCTCTAATATGTAGTAGAGCGATGATTTTTCCATTCTCAAAAAAGAAGTAAGAAACATTAATATTTTCTTTACAATTAAACGTTGATTTTATTCACTTTGAGACTAGCGACAAACAAACATTTTATTAATAAAAATTATCAAACCTTTAAGATAGATAAAGGACATTCAAATATTTATAAATATCGAGAATAGACCATTGAATAGGGTCGAACGATCTATCCTCGTTAAATTTAAATATAAGAATATCATATTTTCTACCCTCCTAATCGATGTTAATATGTTAACATTTTATTTATTTGTTTATTTATTTTAAATCACTAGAATCAGACTATTAGTTAGGGGCAATAATTTAAAATAAACAAATATTACCTTTTACTTAATTATGAAAAGTCTCAAGTTATGCACGTCCCATAAGCTACTGATAGGGGCCTCCTACGAAACTCAGATCTAGCCCCACGGTCTACACTTTGTCTTGGCCTCTTAGACTGGCTCGATGGAGCCCTCCACGAGCCCTGAGAATCTCTGGCTCTCTTGGCTGATGATTGCGACAATATGGACGACTCATGAGCTCTCATACTCTGCCCTATTGACATTCTATGTGCTTTGGCCCTCATGCCCAATACTCTTTCAATCGTCTTCGCTTGGCGAGTCAACTCAGTAAAAACCCTTGATGGATCGATGACTAGATGGGTGAGGATGTCGAGATAGAGGCCTTCTCTGAACCTCTTACAGTAGTGGTATTCAAACGCTGCCAAATCCGGCATTTACTGACTCAATCAGAGGAACTTTCATACTCAAACACGAATTGGTCTCCCTGAGTCAGGTGCAGGAACTGATCACTCTCATACTCACTCGGAAGAACTCCCTCTTCTATATACTTCTAGTGAAACTCGACCAAGAAGTTCTGTATTTGGCTCCATCGCCATCTCGACGATCCCCCACCAGTCTATAGCGTCGCCCTTTAGCAGGGCGGTGACATACTTTAACTTACCTTATGAGGTAAGATGCAATTGACGGAGTGTTTAAAGGGTTTTTATTAAACATTGGTCGACTACTATCGGGTCATCGTCTCCGATGCCAAAGAAGTCGGTGGTTTTATACCTCTGATGTTTCTCAACTGGGGGCTCTTAGACGCTACTATGGGAGGGGCTAGCGATGGTGGCTGGGTAGGTGATGCAGCTAGTGTCCTTGGGATGGCTCTAACTATATGTCTAAGGACTTCAGTTAGATCTCAGGAAAAAGGTAGTCTCTTTAACCCCCATATCTCTATATATCTTAAACTTTGAGTTCGGGGTGAAATCGTTATCGGTATCGACAGCTAGGGAGGCTTGACTCTCATCTCTACCCTCATGACTAGGAGCTATAATATCGTTCATAGGTTTCTATGTAATTAAAAAGAAATGAGAATTTATTATCACTATTCCAGACATAAAAGTACTCTTGACGCTCTACAGGCATATAGACATATAGACATATATACACTCGCTAACTCTAACTCACGGGTCCTAGGAATGACTGAATTTGACACTCTGATACCACTAAATGTAACACTCTAATTAAATATGACCTGAAAATCAATAGATTAAAGGGTACAAGGGACTACCCAAGTGGCTAACCCAAAAATTTACTTTAAAAACATTTGAAAACATCATAAGTAAATCATCCAACAATTACAAAAGATAAAATAATAACGTTTGAATTTACAAATATGGGGAGTTCCCAAAATACATCTTAAGCTTTACAAATAGAAAACTTCAAAATAGAGTTTCGACTCGATACATGAAGGTCTATGAATAATATTGTAACACCCTAATTTGATATGACACAAAGTCACCCGATTAGAATGTCACACGGGACCACTAGAGTGGTTAAACAAAACTTTTTTTTAAACCATTGTAACTGTAAAAGTAATACCATTTTAAGAATAAGTAAATCAACATAACTAAAATAAAGTTTACATCGAGAGCTCCAAAAAAATAAGTATATCAATATAATACAACCCAACATTCAAAATAAAGTTACGACTTAAGTACAAGAAGGTATATGAATTATACATGCCCTAAAAAGAAATGACATCAAGGCGCACTCTACTATTCGGACTGTCTGGAATGTTGGTTGTGCAATATGCTCGTCGAATGCTCCTCCTAACAATCTGTGCATGGAAACAAATTTCTAACACTGAACTTACTAGCCTAGTACCACGCTAACAACTAAATCATACTAAAAGTGTTCATCAAATGCTCATGCTATCGAGCGCAATAAGGATAGTGAGTATGCTCATATTCCACACTCTAATCTAGGGCAAACATCATAGTGTGGTCAAATGGTTACACATCTCAGGACACACACCCCTCTAGTCTACCTAACGTGAAGTATGAAATCTCTACATCGGACACAACACCTGACTAACCTACCCCTTGTGAGCATTCGAGCTTCGTGCTCTAGTTAGTCATTTTAAAGTGTCTCACCCACTACCAAAGGATATACGAACAATCTATACTTTAAAGCTATTTTCAACTACTAAAGTAACTTGGGTGTCCTGACCGTCCCAAGCATCAACCAATGCTAGTTTTATGTCATCCTAATTGATATTGTTCCTATATGATTTGCATATCAATTGTTGTTTTGATTTAAAATCTTACTTGGTGGTGTATTAGTGTTATGGGGTCCCTCAACTTCTTCTAATTCACTTGGACTTCTTACCCAAAAATGTCTGATGGTATCGATACTATGTTAAAACAAGCTGAAAAATGGTGAGTAGTATCGATATTGTTGCACCAGTATCGATACTCCAGAGTTGGGGTATAGATACACATCGTGGTATCGATACTGAAATTTGCTTTAATATTTTGAAAAATATCTTGGTATCGATACTCCTATCGATACTTATACTAAAGTTCCCTCATTTTGGTCCTCGTAAAAATAATGCACCGATACCTAAACCTAGAAATACCCTGCTTGGGCATGAATTTGACTCCCAAAGTTACCCAATATGCCCTTCTATGGTCCCTAAACATTATTAAAGTCTTATGTGTGATACAAGGGTCATAAAAAGGCTTTAAAACATACCAAAAATGCCAAAAGATGAAATCTACCATAGATACTCAATCATGCTTTATAATTCAATTCTCTAGCTATATTACATTCCAATGACTCACAAATGGTATAAAAGAGTTGTGAATGTGTTACCTTAGTCTCTTAGATGTTGAGAATTCCCTCAAATCAACTAAGGGTCAATTTTTCATCCCATCTAGCCTTGGAGCTCTCTCTAACTTCTTTCACTAATCGAGGGCAAGAAAATGAGTTACTAACTCGTCTAGTAGCTTTGATTGAAGTTAAGGACACTTCCTAAAACTTAAATCAACTAAAAAAATGTTGGAATTCACTCGGTTTCTTAAACCCTCTAAAACCCATTTTTGGTTTATATGGCCAAAACTTGAGATTAAGGGCTTAAATTAAAGCTTGAAAGGTGAGGATGAATATTCTTATCTTATTAAAACCAAACTAAGCTTGTAGCACCACAAAGTTTTGATCTTTGAAAGATTTCTTGAAGAGGAAAATAAAGGATGAAGGGGAAGATAAAAGACACAGTTTGTGAAGCTAAGAGAGGATGTACCAACATGAGATCACCCAAATTATTGCATGATCAACTTTTATTTTTAAAAAGTGGGGAAATTACCCATTTAGTCCTCTCTTTTTCAATCTTATTATTAAAATGTCTCATCTTCCTCCCAATTGGGCCCCAATCCCAAATCAACATTTAAATGAACCAAGCCTTCACATATATTAATTTATTTAATTTAGGACCCTCTCAGATTAGCCCAAACTTCTAACTCGTGATTCAGGGCGTTACAAATACATATCAGTTTGGAAAGTCAATGAAGCGATAAGATCCTCGATGCTCTCTCTAAGAACTTGTGCACAAAAACA